AACTTGGCATAATGTTGACTCTACTCCTAAAAGGCAAATGCCTTGAAGAAAAATCTTGTTCCAAGAATCCCACACTCAGCTGTTAGATTAAGAGAATTAGCATAGAAAGATGCAAAGAATGTATTTTAGTTTAATACAGCTAATTCCAGATACACACATGGGTGGATCTATGTCACAGAGTAGTGACATTCCATAGATCTACCTCTTTATAGAACAACCTTTTTTCCCTCCTGCTTATTCCAAACAAGCATCCAGCTTTGTTTTCAAATGACATTCCCATTGTAGAATCACATTTTTGTAAGATATACACAAAGTGTGATTTTTAAAAGTAATTGTTAGATGAAGCAATTTATTATATACAGATTATGCAGATTTTAATTGTCTTTTTTTTTCTTTTAGAAAATTCAATTCCTCCAAGATCCCTAGTGGCATGTGTATTTGTCTATACCTCCAGAGTTTGCCATCAGCTGCAGATGCCATCTTCCTGGATTGCCTTTGGAGTTCTCATGTTTAGTACTTCAAAGAGGTACCAAGACATAGTAGGGATGAAGAGAGTGGGCCTATTCCCCAATTCAGAAACTGTTAGACATATTTTATGAACCTAAATTGCTTTCTGTTTCATCACTTAAATCTTCTTCACCAAGGGATTAAAGCTAGCTAGGCCCAGCTGGTGTTGTTCAGTGGTTGAGTGTCAACTTATGAACGAGGTGGTCATGGTTGGATTCCAGGTCAGGGCACATGCCGGGGTTGTGGGCTCAATCCCCAGTAGGGGGCATGCAGGAGGCAGACAATCAATGATTCTCATCATTGATGTTTCTATCTCTCCCTCCCTCTCTCTTCCTCTCTGAAATCAATAAAAAAAACATATTTTTTAAAAAACTAGCTAGGACACAGTAGATTGTATTAATTATATAGTCTGTTAATTAAAGACTCTGTACATAAAATAATTAGCAATGAAGTCTCTATGTCAACTGGTTAGTCTATACTTTTCTTATTGATGTTGCAAAATAAATAGCAAGGCCTTTAAAAAAGTTATTTCAAATATACTATCACCCTCCTTTCTTGTAACATTCTTAAAAAGAGTTTTTACCATCATCAAATGACCCTCTGTTCTCTTGAATCCCATTGACAAGGGTTGCAAGTTCCTGGGTTAAATGTATGCAATAAATCAACATTTCTAAATAAGATTTATATATTTAAAGAATCAATAGCTGTGACTTCACTACTCAGGATAAATTTCTATATAAAAAGACCTGATATAATTTTCAATCTTTTAATAGCTTAAAAAATAAGCAGTGACTGGTACCCAAACCAAAAAGAAAGCCAGCAACAGGTCTAATGAAAATGGTGCAGAGAGCCCATCAGACATGAAGTAAATACTTTGCTTCTGTTTTCTACTCTCTTTTTGTTTGGTTACCAGGGCAACCTGTTTTTGTGGGAGTCACTGGAATGTATAATAATTAGCTGCAATTAGATGCTTACATCCTATTGGCCAGTGTGATAGAGAGTAGTAATACTAAAAAGAAACAAAAGAGAAGAAGTGCACTGGTAAATGTGGACAAAGCTGCCATGCACTTTGAGACTCAAAGAAAAATTCTGTAAGCCTAATTATCTTTCAAGCTATTTTTAAATTTGCTCTTAAAAAAAAAATGTCCATATCCTCTAGCTGTGACTTCTCACCTTGTTGACCTTCCAAACTACTCCTTAGCTCTTACACATGTATTACACTTGATTTTACTTTTGTCACTCTCTAATTGTTTTATATATATATGTCTTATTCCTTTATGAGATTGTAAAATTCCTTCAGGACTTTTGAGGCAGTGTGGTAAAATGCAGAAAACTATGCAAGTGGAATTAGATGTGACGGATTGTGATCTAGCTCTGAAAGTAATTAGTTGTACAGCATTTAGCCAAATCTCTTTAACCTCACTGAGCCTCAGTTCCCATGTTATCAGATTCATGCCCTTAAAAGGTGTTATAATTAGTGTTATTTATATATATGATAGAGTCTTACTATTTATTTCCTGAATTAAGTTTAACTGTTTCAATACATTAAAATTCCATCTTAGAAAGCCCTGAATATATAGAAAATTAAGATAACTGCTTCTGTTCCAAATCTCAAAAGACACTATCACTTTGTTATAGACTCTCAGGACTCTAAATTTAAATCCATGGTTGGACAAGGTGAAGGTGGCCTACTTCTGAGCTGAAAAAAGGAAGCAAGTTAGATGGCTGTAGTTACACTCACAAAGAAAAATAACAGCATCAGTACATGCTCAAAGACTTGCCTAGCCGGACTCGTGAGAAGGCAAAGTAGCATTACTGTTGTTTCTCACCTAGAACAAGGAACTATGAATTACAGAGAAACTGTATACTTCAAATAGGCTCAACACTTTTTTAAAATACGTTTTTATTGATTTCAGAGAGGAGAAAGAATATCAATGTTGAAAGAGAATCATCAATCGGCTTCTTCCTCCACGCCCCCTACTGGAAATCCAGCCCGTAACCCTGGCGTGTGTCCCAGCTGGGAATCGAACTGTCAGCTCCTGGTTCATAGTCGATGCTCAACCACTGAGCCACAGTGGCCAGGCATTAGGCTCACCACTTTTTAAAACAATAATATATATTAAAGTTTAGACCAATCACTAGACATATCAAATGATTTCAAATCTGATTGTTTATAATCCAAAGATTTTCTAAATTCTTTTCCACTCACCTTGATGACTCCAGATGCTTTAAGCCCTTACTCAGCCAGCTCAAGCAACTCAAGGAGTTTATTTATTCAGGCTTTATTTTAATACCTCCAGTGGCAAGAGACACACCATACCCCAAAGCCATTCATCCTGTATTCAAGCAGCTCTAATTGTTAGATAATTCTTCCTTATGTTAAAACCAACTCCCTCTTTCCTATTATTCTATACATTGGGCCCAGGCTAGAATTGCTCTCATGACATTGTTTGGAATTATTTTCCTCTGAGTACACATCAATTTTCCAAGTCCTTCTTCAAAAGGTACCCAGAACTAAACAAAACCTTCTTTGCTGGATGACCAATACTGTGTACAGTAGGACGACCATCTCCATCATTAATTCAACAAGCATGATTATGCACCTGTTTGGGGCTATATGCTGGTGATATTAAGATAAATTAGACAACATCTTTGATTTCAGGGATACCATGATCTACAGGAGGAGCCAAGAATATTAGCAAATACGTTCAACAAAAGAGCTGAGGGCTAAGGTTGAGAGCATGTATATTTTCAATGCTCCCTGGGAATGGGAAAGAGCCAGGAAAAGTCTCATAGAGGAGCTGTTACCAGGCAGTAAAAAAAAAAAAAAAAAAAAAAAAAAAGAGCATTATGGGAAAAAGCAATAGTAAATCTCTGGCACATGACTCAACAACTCAACATGATAAATTCAGGGAACTTCAAAAAGCTCTCAATAACTGAAATGTCCAGTATGAGGCGTGACAAGGCAGGAGCTTAGGTTAAAGAAGCAGGCAAGGGCTGTGGTGGAGGATGTGTATGCCATACTTGTGGATGAGTGGTCTCCAAACTGGAATGCACATACCACAGAAGATGCACAAGATAATCCACTGGGGGAAAATATGAGAACTTCTATTTTGTTTTATCTTTACCTCAATAATTATGCACATGTTAAACTTTACTAATATTTCATTTAGAGTGACACTGGCACCCTCAATAGGTTTGAATGTCAAACTGTCACATGTCATATACAGCAAGCAAAGCACCCTGAAGGAAACATGGGATACCCACAATATGGAGGGCTAGACAGTTGACCATCATTCTATCATTCATTTTGTTTTTATTTAACAAGGTGCATTTTATGGTGCCTAGTTAAGTATATACATATATGTGAATATTATCTACTTTTAAGTAAATAAACCCTCCTAAAATAAACAAGTGACTGAAAAAAAGATCTCTTCAAAGAAACCCTAAACTGTAGGTAACACTAATAGGGAAAGCACAAGAGGAGCTAAGACAAAGGCAGAGCTGACCCTTCCACTCCTTGCACGCTCTCTTTTAGTAAGCTAAAAATAGCAACAGTACATTCAGATCTGTTACAATATATATCATTGACATATTTATATGTATATCATATATGACTATTTAAGTTATGGGTTTAAATATAGAATATGGAATATGAAGAGCTTACAAATGTTTACTAATTTAATAAAGATTGATAAGCTTTTCTGCAGGGTTTTTTACTTAGTAGTAATAACTTTAGTTAAAAATACTTGTTCTTTCTGTCTTAGAAAACAAGGTCAAAAGACCAGTGTGGTGACCTTAGTAGATAATGCATTATCTCCTGCATACATTGTCCCTGCACCTTGCTGCAACACCTATATCCTTACACCTGAGAATTCTAAATCTACAAATAATTAAACCAGAAGTGCTCTGTGATTGATGTCTAGCTGATGAGAGAGAGAGAGAGAGAGAGAGAGAGAGAGAGAGAGAGAGAGAGAATGAATATTACTGTGCCTGGAGTGGAACAACACAGAAAAATTCTGCACTGGCTCTGGAGCTCACCAATGGGAGTGAGTCCCAGGTGCTCACAGCAGGAACCTTCTTGGTAACATCCCCTTTACTGGACCAGTCCTCCCTTCCTTTTCTCATTCCTGCCAGCCTTATTTTTCTAAAAAGTTGGATAAAATTGTCATTAAATGTTTCTGTTCTTAAAATTTGTTAGACTCTGTCAATAATGAAATAATGAAAATCAACCTTTTTTTTTTTTTTTTATCTTCCAAAGCTTTTATTTAAGGGCAATGGTCCTTGATAGATTTTATATCTTGTTGAAAGGAGCCACATTCATGGAATGCACATAGTCCTTCAGCATAACTGTTTCATATGTGTCAACTTTACACAATGTATTTGAAGTATTTTAATTGTATACCCCAATGGGCCTAGTATGGAAGATCCCTGGACCAAGCCGTCTCCTTGAATGCTTCTGACATGCTTCTCTAATTTTGCCATATCCCTCTCATCATCCCAAGGTTTTACATCTAATTTCATGGGAGACTTAGCAACAAGTGCACGTTATTGGCTTTCTTTGACTCATACTGTGCAAAGCTTTCTTCTCTTTGCCTCTTGTCTGCTTTGCTTTCCTCCTCTTCATCACATCCAAAGGAATCAATGTCATCGCCTTTACTGTCTGTAGCTCCACTTCCTGTGGTGTCTTCCACATTGGCAGAGCCATACTTACCCAAAGCTTTCTTCACTCCTGACAGGCTGGCCTTGTCCTTTTTGTAAGACTTGATGTGAATATACCAGCGGAGGGCATAATGCACGTTGGCAGGTAGTGGTCTGGAGACTGCTTCAAATATTGCCACGTCTGTTTGTAATGGCATATACCCCTTGATACAGCTTGTGTCCACTAGGTAGTTGCTGAGCACCTGGAGGTCATCAGGGTTTTTCAGGTCTTCACAACCCAGGGCATCACCTGATCCTGGAGCTGGGTAGCAGCAGAAGAAAAGAGGAGCAGAGGTGGGGGTCCCAGCTATAAGAAAAAAACATTACATAATTCCTTATACAGAGGTGGATAGAGATGGAGTTTCCCTCCTTCCCAGCTGGCGAAAGGTTAAAGGTCGTATATTAATCTTCTCATTCCACAATGTAAAAATCAGGGACTCTGAATTAAATGGGCCAAAAATTATCAACATGCCTTTCTTTGTGTTTAGAAATCAAAAAACAACTCTTTTGTGACCCAATAAAGTAAAATATAACGGAGAATATACATTCTCATTAGTATTGCTATCTTTTATTTTGTATCCTCACCCAAGGATATGTTTTATTGATTTTTAGAGAGAGAGGAAGGGGGGAGAGAGAGAAAAAACATCAATGTGAGAGAGAAACATCAATTGATTGCCTCTTATACGCGTACGCCCTGGCTAGGGATTAAACCCGCAACCTAGCTATGTGCCCTGACTAGGAATTGAGCCCACAACTTTTTGGTGTAGAGGACAACACTCCAACCAACTGAACCACCCAGCCATGGCGGTATTGATATCTTTAAAACCACTCTGGTAAGGAACTACTGCATGTACATACAAACTTGACTAAAAGTGCAGGGAAAAGAAGAGGTCCTAGAACAGGGGTGGGCAACCCCTGGCACACGTGCCAAACATGGCACACCAGTAACTTTTGCTGGCACATGAAACCCTCTCTTATAATCTTCCATTTACAAGTTTTTTCTTAATATCAACTTTATTTTTCAGATAAATTCAGTGTAGGTGCATCTTAGATAAATAAATAATTTTACATAACAAGTTATCTTAAAGACCATAGACATGGATTGATGAGAGAGGGGAAGAGCAATTTCTATGCCTCTGCCTTAACTCTCCCTGCCTTCCTGGATCCGACCAGTGTTTTGGTTTCATCCACATATGCTTGTGAATCTTTGTTCTCAGTGATGAATTTTGTTAAGTCTCATAATAGGAGTAGCCTGACGGATGAAAGTAGTAGCTCATGCATATCTCTGAAGGTCACAAAATATAAACCTGATGTAAAATCTCTGTCATCAGTGATGCAGCAGCAAAAGTCCCACTGATAATATCAAACGGAGTCCTAAAGTTTTCTGTCGGACTATCAGTGTACATGTATACATTAAAAATAAATGTATTTTTCATCATCATATACTGTGTTTTTGTCGCTCGAATGAATTTTATTATTTCTTCAAGGTTCTTCACATACATACACCTTAAGAGATATCAAGTAGGCGTAACATGTTCTCAAAATATTAGGGTTGGCACACAGAAGAATTTTGAGTCAGAGATTTTGCTGGTTTTGGCATGCACTCACAAAAAGTTTGCCCACCCCTGTCCTAGGATAAAGTGACAGCACTCTAGTAAAATCATTACCTACATCATCATAAGCAACTTTGTGTGTAAAAATGTTGAACCCAGAGTAACATTTCATTGATGGTATTAAATTTTATAAAAACAAAGTCTTTAAAATATACTCCATATTTTTACAATATTTTTAAATCAACATTTAATAGGTAAAACATAATCATAACAAGCTGAGGTATTACATAGAGATTTGTTATCTCATAGCAAAGAACTTAAAAAGAACTTTCATATTTTAAAATGATTTACATATTTTTCTTTTATAAAGACAAATGCCCAAAATTTGTTTACCTATTTTCTTTTTTTAAAATATATTACTTTATTGATTTCAGAGAGGAAGAAGGGAGAGAGAGATAGAAACATCAGTGATGAGAGAGAATCATTATCAGCTGCCTCCTGCACACCCCCTACTGGGTAGCGAGCCACAACCCAGGCATGTGCCCTTGGCCAGAATCGAACCTGGGACCCTTCAGTCCGCAGGCTGACGCTCTATCCACTGAGTCAAGCCGGGTAGGGCTGTTTACCTATTTTCTTGATGAGACTGGATTATCATTAGCATACTACCTAGCAATATTTATTTTTTTTAAAAAAATTAATGAACACCAAAGTCTGAGCAAACTATTTTATGGATACTGATCTAAAGTTTTTATGGAAAGCCAAATGACAGAGAATACCAATATTGAAAGAGAAGAACAAAGTTGGAGAACTGATGATACCTGACTTCAAGACTTACTATAAAGCTACAGTAATCAAAACAGTGTAGTATGGGCAAAAGAATAAACAAGTAGGTAAATGAACAGAATAGAGGACCCAGAAAGAAACTCCAATAAATATGGTCAACTGATCTTTAAAGGAGCAAAGACAACACAATGAAATAAAGATAGTCTTTTCTACAAATGGTGCTAGAACTGGACATCTGCATGCAAAAAAATTAATCTAGACACAATATTTTCACAAAAATTAACTCAAAATAGATTATAGACCTAAATGTAAAATGCAAAACTGTAAAACTCCTAGTAATACCTCCTGGTGATATCTTTTTAGATGAAATACCAAAGACATGCTCCATGAAAATAAAATAACTGATAAGTTGAACTTTATTAAAGTTTAAAACTTCTGCTCTGCAAAAGACAATATCAAGGGAATTAGAAGAGAAGCCACATACTGGAGAAACTCCTTGCAAAAGATACCATCTGGTAAAGAACTGTTATCCAAAACATGTAAAGAATATTTAAAGCTCAACAAGAAGAAAATAACTTGACAGAGAAATGGGCAAAGATCTGAACACACACCTCACCAAAGAAGACATACACAATGCAAATAAGCATTTGAAAAGTTGCTCCACACAGTGCACCTGAAATGCCTCACTCAGGTGACAAAAGAGGTTGAGAGACTGGGCCCCACAAGACATCTACTACATAAGGTCACTCTACCAAGATTGAGAGACATAGCAGCTCCACCTAATACATAGAAACACAGGGAATCAGCCAAAATGAAGAGACAAAGAACAAAACATCATAAAAAGAACTAAGTTGGCAATCTACAGATGCAGAGTTCAAAATACTTCTTATAAAGATGCTCAACAAACTTAAGGGAAGAATAGATCTATTCAGGTAGAATTCCAACAAAGAGATAGCAAACATAAAAATGGAGATAAAAAACATAAAAGGGAACAGTAAAAAATGAAAAATAAAATAACTGAAATGCAGATACACTGGAAGGAATCAACAGTAGATTAGATGAAGGAGAAGATGAAACCTTCCACATCCAGTGGAAGAAAAAAAGAATCCAAAAAGAAAAAGAAAAAAGAATCCCCCCAAAAATAAGGATAGTTTAAGAGGCCTTTGGGACAACATCAAGCATACCAACATTCACATCATGGGGGTGGTAGAAGAAAAGAGAGAGCATGGAATTGAAAACTATTTGAAAAATATATATATTTACAGAAAAGTTCCATTACTTGATGAAGGAAATAGACACACAAGTCCAAGAAGGTCCCAAACAAGATGAACTCAAAGAGTCCCACACCAACGCACATCATAATTAAAATGCCAAAGGTTACAGATAAAGAAAGAATCTTAAAAGCAGCATGAGAAAAGCAGTTAGTTACCTACAAAGGAGCACCATTAGGTTGTCAGCTTATTTCTCACAGAAACTATGCAGCCCACAAAAGATTGGCATGAAATCTTCAAAGTGATGAAAAGCAAGGACTTACCAGTACAACCATGATTACTCTATCTAGCAAACCTATCGGTTAGAATTGAAAGACATATAGAGTTTCCCAGGCAAGAAAAAGCTGAAGAAATTTATCACCACCAAACCAGTATCATAAAAAAGTTAAAGGGTTTCTTTATGAAGAAGAAGAAATAAGATTAAAGTATGAATAATAGAATGACAATAAATACGTATCTAACAACAATTACTTTAAATCCAAGTGGATTAACTGTTCCAATCAGAAGATACAGGATGGCTAAACAGGTAAGAAAACAAGACCCAAACATATGCTCCTCTTGGCTCTCAGTTACCCATCATTGAGTTGATTGATTCATGACACCCTATCATCATCAGTATCTGAATGGCCACTATTTTATTTATACTTTTTGTTGTTGTTACTCTCTTTTATAATATATTTCCAATCCCATTTCTTCTTATGGTTTCCCCCACAATATTGGAACTGCACTGAAAATAAAAAAAAGGATTGAGGGCTCTACAATGTTAATTTTCCCACCTATGAAAATGGCATATCTCTCCATTTATTCAGATATTCATTCATTTATTTAATATATTTCTTCAGTGCTTATCATGCTTCAAACTCTTCTCTAAAAGCTGTGATCACATTAGACAAATTTTGGGGGGTCTTTTAAAATTTTTTTAATATTTTTCTGTATTATCTACATTTTGTTAGATAATTTTCTATATGCTTCAAGTTTTGTTGTTATAATAAATGGCATAAGATTTTCCATTTTGGCCCTAGCTGGTTTTGCTCAATGGATAGAGCGTCGGCCTGTGGACTGAGGGGTCCCGGGTTCGATTCCAGCCAAGGGCACATGCCTGGGTTGCGGGCTCGATCCCCAGTGGGGGGCGTGCAGGAGGCAGCTAATCGATGATTCTCTCTCATCATTGATGTTTCTCTCTCCCCCTCACCTTTCCTCTCTAAAAAAATCAATAAAATATATTTTTTTAAAAAATATTTTCCATTTTTGTATATAGATTGATGTAGATATAGATGATATAGATATAGATATATAGATTAGATATAGATATAGATACAGATATAGATGTAGATAGATAGATATATTGTTTGTTACTTCTCACCTGAGGATATTCTTTTCATTGATTTTTTTTTTTAGAGAGAGAGCAGAAAGGAGGGAGGGTGGGAGAGAGAAACATTGATGTGAGAGAAACACATTGAGTGGTTGCTTTTTGCACCTGCCCTGACTGGGGCTAAGGAATGAACCCGTAACCCAGGTACATGCCCTTGACTGGAAATTGAACCCGAGACCCTTTGGTCTGTGGGTTGATTATCAACCACTTAACCACACCAACCAGGACTCCCTTATATTTTTAATTGGTTAGTGCAAATATAGAAGAACTCTGTTAATTTTTTTTTTTGCTTTTTTGCCATTGTAACTTGTATTCTTTTATTAGTTTTAACAGTTTGTTCGTTGTCTTAAGTTTTGTCTCTTCCCTTCCAGTTCTTAACATTTTTTGTCTCTTTCTTGACTTACTGCATTGGCCAGAGATAAAGACTTCTGCAAGAATTCTAGAACTACCCTCTCAATAATTTAAACTGATAATGAAACCACCAATCTACACTTTGCAAATAGCTTTTCTTCTTCACCTCTTCCCCTTCCTCCCTCTCTTTCTCCTCTTTTTTTCTTCCTTTCTTGCTTTCTTCCTTTCTTTCTTTTTTCTTCTTTGGAAAAAAAGGTCTACTGTATCTTCTAGAATCTCTCATTCCTCAATATTATTTTTTAAAATCTTAGTCCAAATATTTTCAGGATTTTCTAAATGAGATTGTGTGGGTCAGTCCCCTCAGCCTCGGCGGCCGCCGCCCCTCTGCCAGCGCTCCGCGGGCGGGTGGGCGGCTGACGGGGGTGGGGGCCGGTGGTCCTGCGCGCTCAGCGGCGGCGGCTCCATGGGGTCGGCGTGAGGCGTCCGGCGCTCCGAGTCATTCCCGCTTCTGCAGGAAGAGGACCTGGCTCCCGTGGACTGGGAGTTCCTGGAGAGCCGCCTCTGAACAGCTGGCAATAATTTCCTAAGTCCGGTCTCTTCATTTTCCTTTGTGTTGCGTTTCGGAACATCCAGAAACCATGAACATGAACAACGTTAGTGATGAAAAGTTTGACTGCCATTTCCTCGATGAGGGCTTTACTGCCAAGGACATCCTGGACCAGAAAATTAATGAAGTCTCTTCTTCAGACGACAAGGATGCCTTCTACTGCAGACCTGGGAGACATTCTAAAGAAACATCTGCGGTGGCTAAAAGCTCTTCCTCGGGTCACCCCCCTTTTATGCAGTCAAATGCAATGACAGCAGGACAATAATGAAGACCCTGGCTGCCATCGGGACGGGGTTTGACTGCGCCAGCAAGACTGAAATACAGTTGGTACAGAGTCTTGGGGTGCCTCCAGAGAGGATCATCTATGCAAACCCTTGTAAACAAGTGTCTCAGGTTAAACACGCTGCCAATAACGGAGTCCAGATGATGACTTTCGATAGCGAAGTCGAGCTGATGAAAGTTGCCAGGGCACATCCAAAGGCAAAGCTGGTGTTGCGCGTTGCCACCGATGACGCAAAAGCAGTCTGTCGTCTCAGTGTTAAATGTGGTGCCACCCTCAAGACCAGCAGGCTGCTTTTGGAGCGGGCCAAGGAGCTAAACATCGATGTCATCGGCGTCAGCTTTCACGTGGGCAGTGGCTGTACTGACCCTGAGACCTTTGTGCAGGCCATCTCTGATGCCCGCTGTATCTTTGACATGGCGGCTGAGGTTGGTTTCAACATGTACCTGCTGGACATTGGCGGTGGCTTTCCTGGATCTGAGGATGCAAAGCTTAAATTTGAGGAGATCACCAGTGTAATCAACCCAGCCCTGGACAAGTATTTTCCATCAGACTCGGGAGTGACACTCATAGCTGAGCCGGGCAGATACTATGTTGCATCAGCGTTCACGCTTGCGGTTAATATCATTGCCAAAAAGCTGGTCTTGAAGGAACAAACGGGCTCTGACGATGAGGAGGAGTCGAGCGAGAAGACCTTCATGTACTACGTGAACGATGGAGTGTACGGGTCATTTAACTGCATCCTCTACGATCATGCGCACGTGAAGCCCCTGCTGCAGAAGAGGCCCAAACCAGATGAGAAGTACTACTCATCCAGCATCTGGGGACCGACCTGTGTCGTGGAGCGCTGCGGCTTGCCCGAGATGCACGTGGGGGACTGGATGCTCTTTGAAAACATGGGTGCTTGTACCGTGGCTGCTGCTTCTACTTTCAATGGGTTCCAGAGGCCGACGATCTACTATGCGATGTCAGGGCCAACCTGGCAACTGACACAGCAAATCCAAAACCGCGACTTCCCACCCGAGGCGGAGGAGGACGCTGGCGCCCTGCCTGTGTCCTGCGCCTGGGAGAGCGGGATGGAGCTCCTCCCAGCAGCCTGCGCGTCAGCCCGCGTGAACGTGTAGACGTGTAGACGCCATTCCTGTAGCTGTTACGCGTGTGTACCTTGACTTAAGGGATTTGGGGGGACCACTTAACTTAATGATTGCTAGTTTGGAATGTCTTTGCAAGTGGGGGTGGCACAGATGGAACAAGGTGGAAGGCCTAGGCGACGGGGTTACACTTACGTGTTCCTATGGAAACTATTTGAATATTTGTTTTATATGGATTTTTATTCAATTCTCAAACATGCTACCGCAGAGCGCCCCTCAGCTGCCAGGCAAGCATTTGTAGCTTGTGTGTTGGCAGAACCAGCCCGAGGCTTAGTGTTGTGACCTGTTTTAACAATAAAGTACCTTGGAAATTAAAATAAATAAATAAATAAATAAATAAATAAATAAATAAATAAATAAGATTGTGTGAACATTCCTTGAGGCCATTTTGTTTGCTAAATGCCATGTTTCAAGTTGTCTTCCAGAGAAATTCAGGTTAAGTCCTACAGATGCTGGACAAAGGTAATCAAGGAAATTTTATATGAACTTGAAGACTTTAATAACAGCTGTAAATGAAGGTCACACATATTTATTTAATCTCTAGTATAGATTTATTACCATCACACTATCATCTTCAGAGTTGGCCTCTTAAATAACAAAGAATGGGAAGAATAGAATTCATTATAAGAGCTATAGAGGTAACAACAGATGTTAATAAGATGCCAAATAATATAAAAAAATGAAGAATTCTGAAGTTCAAGTTCATTTAGTATGTCATGGTTACTTAAGAGTAAAATCAGGAGTTAGTGTCTGATTTGTACCTGTTGTTTAAAAAGATAATTTAACTTCTATGTATGATCATTTTGTTACTTTTCAAAAGCACTAAATTCCTGTTCAATTGAAAACATTTCCAAAACATACCAATCGGTCATTTCATGGACATTTATACATTTGTTTATGAATCAATTATTGTTAATTACTTGTATGTGCTTCTTTTCATTATGTTAATTCTGTGTATCATTACACTTTTTGTTTTGCTTGGCTGTATTTTAGTATCTAGTAGGCTTGTTATATTGATACTAAAACAAATATTTGGCACATGTTTGAAGTGGAGTATAACTCAGAATGAATTTTAAATGGTTTCTTGTGAAGCCAGGAAAATTGTTGCAACACTAGACACATAAAAATATATTTACTCAGCTAATACATGTTAATATTCATTGCTTGGGTAAGAGAAAATTACTAAAAAACATATATTTATATATTCTATATATTTACTTGTATATGTTTATATATAGGTAACAATTACAGAAAAGCTGCTGCATTAACAAGAATCAATAAACTAATTAGTTTATTTCTCCCTACTTTTTACTAAAGAGAATATTGAGAGAAAAATGACAAGAATGGAGAAGGGAAGCAAGACATACATATACTATACTTAAAATATATTCTCCAAGATCATATTTCATTGTTTAGGTTATAACATTTTACTCTTTTCTCCTTCACAAGTTTTATTTCCTTACCATCCTCAACAGCCACTTCCATACTCACTCAAGAATAATAGTAATTACATCAAGAAAATAGCAATTGATATTATCTTATTTACCGTTTTCATCCTGAAATGTATAAACTATTAGTTTAAGTTCTTTTTCTGCTGGATTGGATTTAATTAATAACTTGGATCATTCCATTTTTCTATAAAAACCACAGTGTAACCCTGAGGATAAAAAGAACTCATATTAAGAAAGGAAGAGAGCAATGGCCATACACTGGTTAAAAGCACTAAAAGCAGAAATATTTCCAGTTCACTCTTCTTTAGCTTTTTCTAGAGGAACAAATCCAAACAGTGTTATGACTTACATTTCTTTCTTTCACTTTACAGATGCTGAAAACTTTCATTTCAGGTTTCTATCTCCTAGAAGTGGGGTGAAAAAAAGCTGGTTATTATTCCTAAACCCATTGAAATTGCATTTGTGGCATCAAAATGGATTTTTTTTTAGAGCAGGATGTTGGGTTGACAGTAAAGCAGCTGCTCTGCAACAAACGAAAGCAAAAATTAATAAGAGACCTTAGCAAAAGAAAGACTATTGGTTTTGCACACCCAGAGCAAATTGGCTGGATTTAGAAGAGCACACTTTGATCTTTTCCAGACTAATTACTGCTCTGTGGTTTGACTGTTTTGTGCATTATTTGCCCTTCATACAAAACCGAAACTGCTATGGTACACAGCTGTAATACAAATGAAAATCTGACATTCAGTAAACAAAGCATGGCAAGGGTCATTCTTTCAGCACAATAAATGCATAATACAATTTTAGAATGCCTTTTGTATAAAAAAAAAATGACACAATTTAAGGCAGTTTTGAACTCAGAGTAGGCAGTCAAGGCTGTTTATAAAGGATAGAGAAATTGCTCCCAACTCTGACGTATAAATATAGATTGAAAACAGTGTATTCCAACATTGTAGAAATGCTGAGGAATTTACATATTTACAGAAATAAATGTGTCCATTTTTAGAAGATGGTTTTTCATTTGTCTATGAGGTTAATTGGGAGCAGATTTCTTAAGCAGCTGTTTGCAGTAGCAATAATGATCTTTATTCACCAATATGATTCTGTATTGGCTTCTGGGAAAGAATTCAGATTTTTTTATATGTAGACTTTATATTAAAGTATTTAATGCTATATTTACTTTTCAGTAAATATAATGAATTCAATAATAGCATTTTCAGCAAATACCAATTAAATCATTTTAGTTTATATTATTTATAGGCCACCATAATTATTAAAGCATAAATCTCTTTCTGCATAAAAATATATATTTAGATTATAAATGGGTCATCCTTCTAAAGGGAATCCTTTTAAATAGTTTGTATTTAAACATGGTTTTGACAATCTCTCTAACATTTGGTACAATAAGTTATCATCGTATGACTAACAACTGGAAAGCATTTATCTGATAATACTTGACCCAGTTTGTATTTAACCAACTTAACCGTTAGAACTATACAAACTTTACCCAATTTTTTTTCAAACACACATTTATGCAACTTCAAATATACCTGCCTTTTAAAGTCAAAGGACTTAGCAATTTTACTGTTTAATGCTGAAATATTTTAAATAGAAAGGAATATTTGATTAAAGAAGCAATCTATTAAAAACATTTCTTGCTTGGCTGGACAGAAAACATCATTCTTTTATGCTTTATTTCTATCTCAAACTTTTGAAAATAAATGGTTCAGATAATATGGATGATATAACTCATTTAATTAATCATTCTTTAAAAACGGAAAAAATATTTATAAAGGATTGATTGATAGCCAACTATCATAACCAAGGCAGTACACCATGGATGTTAAAAATTGGAAATATTGAACTCTTTTATTCAATCATTTAAGAATACCACACATTAGATGTTGAGCAAGCTTTCTCTTGGTCATTTTTTATTGCTATAGTAATTGCTATATGAATTATATAAATTTTATGAC